CTTCGATTTTCACAAATTTATCGTCCTAATTAAGAAAACCCTCAAACTGTACCGTTTTCCCATTAAGCCAACGTAACTGTATCAGTAGCCGAGCGCTAATAATAAAAATCAACATCAGAACCTAACGGATCTTCGGAAACGCGCGAACACCGTTAGTCCATTCTGAGATGTTGAGCTATAGCAATCCGTGCATTTGGGGGCTTTTGCTTCTGGTCAGTGCAGGGTGCGCCCAGGTGGAGAACACCATTGAAGACTACGACCGCTTTGAAGAAGAGGATGAAGCAAGCGAACGAGGCTCCAGGCAATGTAAGCTTCCAAGACGAATTGGCTAAAGACCTACAGAGATAATGTGGTAGATTTCCCGAAAATCGGACTGGTGCGCTTTGAGAACAGCGTCTGTACTACCCAAGAAGGCTACATGGGAACCTGCGTGACGAAGAAACAGTGCGAATACAGCGACGGGCTGCAGTCGGGCAGCTGCACGACCAACGGCATCGGGCGCTGCTGCCTCAGTAAGACTCAGCTACACACTTACAACCGCCAACTTACCCTCTTGAACTGTTTCAGTCCAGCGCACTTGCGGCGAAAGCTCCGCTTTTAACAACACCTACTTTTCCAGCACCAACTATCCCAATACGTTCAACGAGGATTCTTCGTGCACTTTCACCATAGAGGCCTGCCCAGGCAACTCTTGCCAAGTGAGTTTGTAGGGCGACATCCAATGCTTCCAGGAGGGTGACTTTGGTGCTTTTGCAGGCCAGGATCGACTTCCTGAGCTTCACTCTGGCGCAGCCCGACGGCAATGGAAACTGCGTGGACGATTCCATGGTGGTGACTGGATCAGGCGGGAATGTTCCAGTGATTTGCGGCGAAAACTCCGGGCAGCACATCTACGTAACCTTTGTGGGCAACAACAGCATCACCATCACCATATCCACGTCCTCCAGCGTCGATCTTCAGCGCAGCTTCAACTTTCTTATCACTCAAATTGCTTGCGACTGCCCCACTTTGGGTTCGTCCCTGGTCTTACTGACTTTTCCCGCATTAAGTGACAACTTGATGTGACTTTTCAGCGCCCGCTGGCTGTTTGCAGTACTACACCGACCTGTCAAATACGGTGCGCAGCTTCAACTACGGCAGCCAAATCAATGGGGCTGTGGTGACGTACGTCAATGCGACCACAGTGGCTGGAACCAGACAGCTGGCCAATACGAACTACGGAATCTGCGTGAATATGGTTGCAGGGTAAACGACTGCGCGTTTGCCGCGCACTGTCACTCCAATTGACGTTTCCAGGTACTGCGCAATCCAGTGGGCGCAGTCCAGCGACAGCACCTCCTTCACAGTGACAGGCAACACCGCCCTAATCGAAGTGGTTACCGGCTTACCCAACGATCCGCTTTATGGCGCAGCCTGCACTACGGACTTTGTGGTTATCGCTAATCCGTACTTTTCTAACGGCGTGAGCGTCAACACTGACCGATTTTGCGGCAACGAGTTTGACACTGTCTACAGTAAGTGAGGTGACTGCCAGTGGCGGTATGAGCGCCCAATTTGCTCTTATTTTCAGCCAATTCCAAGCCGTTTGTTTTGACAACTGTGACAGACGCTGACGAATTAGGCTCGGACGATGTGGCCAATCGGGGGTTTTCGCTCACCTACACCCAGCAGGCCTGCAGGGGCAATAACGCCCTCTTGCAGCTCACTGGATAAGTGTGCAAGCTTATTTTAATAAAGTTAAAAATTTTGAGAAATTATAGAGTTATTGGTCGGCCAATACGTTCATGCAGTATTATAGTTTGCGCTGTTTTGACACACACGCCTGCGCAAGTCAGTCTAAAGTCAGTTCTACGTTAAACTGGCAGTTGACATTTCCGACGTCCGCTTGCAGGTTATTTCATTATAAACATATCCAGTTTCACCCATTTCTAATTGTCTACTTGTTTACATATGTAAACATTACGTTTAACTACGTATTAAATCTTGTATTAC